GTGAGGCAATGGCAAGTCCCGAAAGAGAGCATTGGTTGAAAGCCGAGGAAGAGGAGATTGAGAGTCTCATGAAACGAGGTACATGGCGTCTTGTTGAGCCACCTCCAGGGAAGAAGGTAATTGGTGTCAAATGGGTGTACAAGATCAAGGTAAAAGGTGATGGTAGCCTCGATAGGTACAAGGCAAGGTTAGTGGCAAAAGGTTATTCCCAAATTCCAGGTCTTGACTTCACCGAAACCTTTGCCGTAGTAGCAAAGTACACCACGGTACGAGTCCTCCTCGCCATAGCCGCATATCTTGGTCTCCATATCCATCAAATGGATGTCAAGAACACATTTCTCTACGGTGTCTTGGAAGAAGAGGTATACATGGCACAACCCGAAGGTTATGATGACGGTACGGGTCGAGTGTGTCGCTTGGTAAAGTCCCTTTATGGTCTCAAACAGTCCCCACGGGTTTGGTATCATGCTCTTGAGCAGGTACTTTTTAAGCATGGTTTCACAAGGTCCATGAGAGACAACGCTCTGTACTTCATGCACACGAGTGAGGGGGAGTACATTTGGCTCTTGGTATATGTCGATGACCTCCTCCTAGTCTCAGGTTCTCTTGATCTTCTCAACAAGGTGAAAGGTATTCTCACGAGTGCATTCACGATGACCGATCTTGGTGAGCCGAGTCATTATCTTGGTATGAACATTGTGAGAGATCGTAAGTCACGGTCCATCTTCTTATTCCAGCAAAGGTACATCCAAAAGGTCCTTGAGAGGTTTGGTCTTGATGATAGCAAGCCATCACCTACCCCACTTCCTTCCAAATTTGTCCCTTTGTCTTCACATCAGCCCTATGAAGAGAGAGAGTCAAGCCTTGATGTCATAGGTATTAAAGAGTTGTGTCTTGAGGAGAGTGAGCATCATGGTGAGAATTCACTTAAGGTATCCCCACAAGACCTAGCTCTGTACCAAAGTCAGGTTGGGTGTCTCATGTATGCAGCCCTATGCACAAGGCCCGACTTAGCATTCACGGTATCTAAGCTAGCTCAACACATGCTAAGTCGGTATCTAGGCCCGACTTAGCATTCACCTATTCATATGCATGCAGCCAAGCGAGCTCTTCGGTATCTCAAAGGTACTTCTAATCATGGTCTTCTCTTCCAAGCCAGCCCATATGCAAGCTCCTTCCAAGGCTTTACCGATGCAGATTGGGCGGGAGAATTGAGCACACGCAAGTCTACCGGCGGCTACATCTTCCTCATGTGTGGTGCCGCTGTTTCTTGGCAATCGCGCAAGCAAAGTTGTGTGGCACTTTCAACAACCGAAGCTGAGTACATGGCAATGACCGAAGGAGCAAGGGAGGCAATCTGGTTACGTGGACTCTTGGAGGAATTGAGGCAGCCGCAAACTCAACCAACTCCGCTCTACGTGGACAACACTTCAGCCGTAGCTCTTTCCAAGAACCCGGTTCATCATGGGCGTACAAAACACATCGATGTGCAGTACCACTTCATTCGTGAGCAACTAGAGAAGGGAGTTTTCGCCGTCAACTTTTGCCGTTCATTCGATCAAGCAGCAGATTTCATGATCAAGGTTCTTCCACATGATGCATTCAACATGTGCAAGGCAAGAGCAGGCCTCATGACACTTCATGAAGCAGTGGAGCAGTTTGAGGAGAATGAGGAGTGTGAGGGGAAGAGACGTGGGCAGCAGCATGAAGTGTATGCTAAGGAGATGTGAAAGGAGCATCAGCATGGGTGTATGTGTGCTTCGGGTCTGGTGCGAGGGGGAGTGTTGGAGAATCGAGTTTCTGCCGCCCCAGCCCTTTACACACAAGCAGCAGCAAGGGGGAATGTCGGCGATGAATCAGAGCTTCGGGAAGTACTTCGAAAGTTCCACCACCAATCAGATTTCAGCCGAAGACTTGATATAGTTCAAAGCTGCCTTCAAACCGAAGTGTTGGCAGTTTCTACAGGTTTCTACACATCTGAAACAGCTATAACAGAAATATTCAGAGTTTTCTTATTCATGCACCTCATGTGGCACTCAAAGTCACTCAAGGTCCATCCAATCTAGATTGTGCCCAAGTTATCAGGGAAGTTACATTGTCTATCAGCCTAGTTTGAGCTTTCAATCTGTCTTGTTTGTGATGACTATAGAGTTGTGCTTTAGTGGGCTTGTTAATCTTGAACATAGTGAAGTTTTACCTCATCCAGTCAATTCCAGCAGCCCTGCTAAGACTTTTCAGCCAAGTTTCCAACCCTCCAGTAGTCACAGGTACTCTGTTTTACAAGTTACTCTTCGAGTACAGGATAGGAAGCACAAGTTGCCACACCTGCCACATACGGTAAGGGCGTGTCCAGCTCGTACGTTTTCGGTTCATATACAGTTCATCTACCGTGGTGCAAAAACAATATCAAAAGGTGCAAAGCGATTATTTTTTTTCACCTTTGTTCACCGTGACGCAAAGCGGTCAACCGCACAAAATGAACTGAAAACGTACGAGCTGGACACGCCCTAAAACCAACCCAATTTGAGCAATGAAATAGCACTACATACCAGCTGCTGGAAAAACAATGGGGGTTAAAAGACTTACCACACATATTCTCTCCCAGCTTAATTTTGAAAAATCCTTCATCTCCCCACTCAGCGCCCCAGGAGTTCTTGACAATCCAGTATGGAACATCTTCAGAAGTGTCGTACCCAACGGCCAGAACGGCATGATTGACAGTCTGCAAGACACAACAGTTACTGCTTAGCGGGATCTCTTGTAGAAACAAAAACGCCGGATAATTCCAGGATGAAGATCCTTACATCAGGTCCCGACTTGCAAGTGTCTGAAACGTAAACCCCACTCTTGTAAAACCGGAAACCATCGACCACCTCAAACGCGATACTGACAGGGCGAACAAATGCCACAGCATCTTGAAGACTCGCCTCATCGTACTGCACTTGAAAAAAAAAGAAAAATTTGTGAGAAAAAATCCGGATAGATTAGTAACTAGAACCAGCTACAGCTCTTCAGCCTCTTACCTCTGTGATGTTTACAACATCTGCAACTCGTGCTCCAACCCGCTTGGGAGCGAAGTGACATTGGTCATTCTGACCTAGGTACGGATACGCGTCTTCTGTATCAATGCCTCCATTGTACTTCACATACTCAAACGCCTGCACCACGCGCCGAAAGAAAGCATTGAGGAATTAAAGGAGGTGCAACAACTCATATGGTAGCTTTTGGAAAATTACCTGCGAAGGTAAGCCACCGTTGCAGCCGTGATTATTGTACTCCCCAGCGCAATCAACCAGCTGCTGCTCAGAGAGCGAGACGAAATTACCAGTCTTCTGAAGGTACGCCGCCTCCAAGGCTCCAGTGGTGCTGCACAAAAAAACAGAAAAATACTTCTAGACACATACTATGGTATTTGGGGACAACAAAAACTGCAGTAGGTATACCTGAAGGTCCAGCAAGAACCGCAGTGGCCTTGATTCTTCACTGGACTGACAACACCCTCATCCCGCCAATCTTTCTGCAGAAACGAATAAGCAGCAATGAAGTGAGACCCAAAAGCAGATGCTTCTAAGAGCATGAATCACGCTAAAAAGCGCATGATTGCAGTTTACACAAAAGTTCTCACACGCAACGGCAGATTTTTGTCAGTCAAAACATGACCGCCCTCCGTAGCTGAGCAATTCTGAGACGCGCCCAGCTTGTGCTGCTTGAATTCCTCCCAAGAGATATCAGCATATTCTGAAAAACATAGCAGACTTCCGTAAGAACCAGGCAGATATATTTTTTCCTAACTCACGGTTTATCAGTCAAACGAAGCGATATACTCACCATTGATTTCAAGCTTGTACGGCAGGTTGGCCGAATTAGTCTCGTGAATTAGCCTCCAGTTTTCAGTGAAAATGCGAAACCGCTTCAAAGCTTCATGCTGTGTCTCGTAAGCTTTGGCAAACCTGAAACACAGTCATGAAAGCTAAAATCCGTGCTTCAAGTGATTTGACGTTTACGGCAACTTGCGGCCCTCATACCTGCTGGCAAAAGCTCTGAATTCGGAAACAAGATGACCTTCACCGAGTACGCCAAGGGCATCATCTGTCACCATGGCCAGATTCTCCGCAGGACCAACCCTCGATGCGATAGCCACGTTGCCCAAGATGCAAACAACCATAATCGTCCACATCAGATTCAGGGCCATGGTGCTAGAGGTTGCTCTCGTGAAGTGGCTAAAGAAGCAACGGCTTGGTGAGGTGAATCACGAGTTAAAAGGCCAATCAAGCAATACCGTGGCCAAACGGACTTTGTATGCGCTTGGCCCTTCAACTGAATCGCGAAGCTATGCAACCTCTTTCCCACCCAGGCTCATCAATTGGACCTGGATTTAGTACGGTACCTGTGAAAGATATTATCAATTGCTGCTGGCCTGCCACTGCCCCTGACCACTAGACTCCTAGAATGGGGCGGGTTGGCGGATCCACGTCCGCACCACCCTTGGATTGGTGAGCATGACGAAGCGCCATCACGATGACATCAGCATTGTCCGTCAATTCAGAACACACCCATCCTGTGCCGCCATGCTGGACAGCTTTGACCAATCACTATAGCCAAGCGACGTGTACACCAGACTGATTCTTGGGATATGGTTTGAACAGTGGCAGTGCAGAAACCCACATTCACGTTTTAGAGGCCATTCTTAGTTGCGAAGAAAAATGCGTTCCGACTTTCTATGGGTCTGTTACGTACAGCAACAACTAATAATGACATGCTAGTTTACCAGATAGAATGAAGAATTGTTATAAAATGATACCGTATGTAACTGACTGGCAAGCTACTGGTAGATGCATTGTGGATACCAATGCGTCAGGTGGCGTGAAAAAATAACATACACCGACCACCTACTGGTCAACCATAACATGTTGGCATCCCACTTTTTCAAAGTATTACTCCTAGACATACTCTCTGAATTGAAAGCTGAGAAAAAGATCACCTAGCAAAGCTTGCAGGCATCAGCCTAGGCCGGCGCCGATGGGCTGGCGGGAGGCTGCGTCAGCTTTGACTCGGCGCGGCCTGACAATGCGGTCAATGAGGCCGTAGTCCAGCGCCTCCTGCGCACTGAACCGCTTTATCCGTGACAGGTCCTTGGTCACCTGCACTCCATGCAGCCATCATAGGAAAATGGGCGCGGAATGATAAGGTCAGAGACACTTCTCAATCTGTGAGGCGTGAGGCAGACGACATTCATTGAGGATGTGACACATGAGACCATGTGATGCATGTGAGCAATGATGACACGGGATAGATGCACTAGGGTAAGAATGGGCAAGGATCATGAAACACTGGGGGAGGTAGCATGAACAACGACGCGAACGAGAGGGAAAGAGAGGGAAAGGGAGAGAGGGGTGGGGGGAGGAGAGAGAGAGAGAGAGAGAGAGAGAGAGAGAGAGAGAGAGAGAGAGAGAGAGAGAGAGAGAGAGGCAGAAGCAGGCGACACAGGGAGGTGTACGCGTCATGGGCTCATACCTTCTCCACAGGCTGGCCTGACATTTTAGCGAGCTCCCCAAACACGTACGTGCGAACCCGGGACAGCTCCCTCGCCTCGTTCTGAATGTCATCCGCCTGCCAGCGCCAGCACATGGCCACACACGCACACCACATGTGGAGCAGCATTGAGCATGCAGCAAGCACGCGAGAACTGCACAGAAGCCTGGCACTGATATGAACCATGAGGCGCCCAGAGGCAAAAGATCCGAGTGACAGCTATGAGGTGTGCAGAAGTAGCAGGTGTGAGGCACGGGAGGCATGCGCGGGAATGCAGCTCACCTGGCCGCGGGCAGCTCCTGCAGGCGATTGCAGAGCCACTCGGGTCATGGGCATGGCCACACGCAGACCCTGCGAGCGGGGCAGGTGCACACGCACAAGGAAAGAGGTCATGCTGGGGCCAAGGACACCCTCAAAGCAGCAACTAGGTCAGCCAGGAGCGGAAACAGGCAGCGCAGGAAATGCTGTGGAGTGCGGCATGGTGCCGCAGGTGATGTGACGGAGAAATGGCTGCTCAGGCAACCCGGGGCGCTGTGTGAGTGGGCAAGTGGTGTGGTGGGCATGGTGGGAGAGGTGGAGGAGGCAGTGTGTGGAGAGGGAGAAGCACCTTGGTGCCGGCAGCGAGGAGGAAGCCGGCGTTGTTGTAGGCGTAGCCGAGAGCGAGCGTGCCCACCGGGGACTTGATGGAGCGAATCGTGTCGTACAGGGCCAGCGTGGGCGTCAACTGCACTCAGCAACACACTAGCACGCGTGTGTCAACCACGAGCAGCAGAACCACATGTCACAAGAGCGTCGCAGCGACCGGGAAACAGACAGAGAGAGCAGCCTGCTGAACCAGAGCAGCAGAACTAGAAAAGCGGCGCAGAGGAGCGGGGGGGCACGGACCTCGCCACCGGGGCTGTTGATGTACATGTACATGGGCTTGTTGGAGTCGAGGCTGTCGAGGTACAGCATGGTGGCGAGCACCTGGTTCGTGTACTCCTCGTCCATGAACTGCCCTATGAATATGATCCGCTCGCGGTACTGCCCACCCCCGCCGCACGTCACACGCAGCAGAGGGGATGGGGAGAGGGGAGAGAGGGTGGGGATCGAGGGAGGGAGGTTGAGACGAAGTGGATTGGGAGCGAGGGGGAGAGCAAGGCCGGGGTGAAGGAGTTTGTGGGGCGGGGAATGCGCAGCAGCAGAGAGAAACAGAAGGAATGATTGGACACAACACGACGAGCGCAGGCGCGCAGCGGGCGCGAGAGCGTACCAGAACGTTCCAGATGTCGACCCACTGCCACCCGCCCTCGCCGGGCGTGCGGTACGGCACCTTGGGCGTGCCGATCGGCATCATCACCACGCGCGCTCGCCGCCCCGCGCTGCGCGCAGCCAGCACACGGTCGCGGGGGGCAGGGGGAACGGGGAAACGGAGAGGTTCGAGATGGTGAGAACGAGCATAGCTATGGTGAAATGAGGACGATTTAACCTAGAGGACAGGGCGAAGGATAACCACGGCAGGGTGCGAGGACGGCAAAGGATTGGAGCAGTGCGGCGAGCTATGGCGTTGAGGACAGGGGATGCGGGCGAAAATACGGCACAGTAGGCGGAGAGCGGGGGCACCGGAATCACTGTAACGGTGCGCACCCAGCGGGACGAGCGGCGGAGGTGGCGGCGGCGACAGTGTGGAAGAGGCGGTCGGAAAGAGAACGCGCACCGCCACGCAACGACGCCACTGCGAGGCGAGTGGTGACGCGCGCAACCGGGGAGATCGGAGGGCGCAGGGGGGCACGGGGGTGAGAAAAGGAGAAAATGGGGGCGCTGGAGGATAAGCGAGCACAGATACAGGGTGAAGAAGCGCAGGAGCGAAGTGAACGGTATGTGCAGTCTTGCGATCACAGCGCCAACATAGATCGCAACGCATGCCATGGCGTGCCGCCATGGGAAATCATGAGGGTTAAAACGGGGTATAGGGTGCACAAGGGCGGGAAGGGGGGTGAGAGGGGTGGGGGAGAAGAGCGCAGTGGCAGGGCCGACATGGTGCGTACCGGAGGACGATTGCGACTGAAGGCCCACGAAGGGTTGCTGCCACGAGGGCGACGCCGATAGCGACGCTGTTGGCTGCGCTAGCCTGGCAAACAAGGCGGCGCACACGATAACAATCAGAACCGCAGGGAAAGGTCGTAACAGCCGTGGAATAGCAGAAAATGGGGAGGACGGAAGATGACGGTGCGACGGAATGGAGTGGGAGTAGGAAGGAGCTAGCAAGAGGATTACTGATAGTGAAAAGGAAACTGAGCTGGAAAGCATGAAGTCCCGAATTCGAGAGCACTTTCGAAGCACTGCGACGATTCAATCTCTCCAGCTTCACTGCAATTCGAGAGCGACATTGACCTATCCTTGAGGTATCAGTGACCATTGATCGTACCTGGCAGTGGAGATGGACGCTGTGACTGGCGACGCCATGGCGTGAGCCATAATCGCTAAAGCGATTCTGGATCGACGGCCTCTTCTCGAGCTTAGGAATCCGATGTGTCGGTCTCGAGAAGAGAGTTCAAGTGTGAGATCGCCCGGCTACTAAACTGGCTACTTCCTGCTATCCTGGCAGCTTCAACAAGTAACATACGCATTTCCCCTTTGTTGAGGGGTGCGCGGAGAATGCTCCGCCACTCCCCCGCTGACTTCCTAAGCTCTTCCCCCAACGACGGGGGGAAGGGCGTGGGGGGGAGCCAAGAAACTGGAAAGATGAGGGGCTGTCCGCGTGGCCCAATCAAAGGGGCCCGGCTGGCCTATTCTCGAGCAAGTGTGTTGTGAGGATTCGACTTGGACGGCTTCAAAGCAGCGACAAGCTTGGAAAATTTGACCCGCCAAAGCTGACAGATTACATGTTATCCAGCTATCCTGATAACTGAGAATCTTTCCAACAACTTGTTAATACTTTCCTAAACCCAAGTGTTCCTACTATCCCCAAACACATTGCCTGTACCCACGAACACTCGGCTTTTATAGAAGAGGCTCTTCCAGTATAACCGGTGTGTCCCAGCCATCAAATCCCTGGTATCTGCGTGCGTGACCACCTGTCTACCGTGGCTTGACTTCAAGAGGTGCCTTTTTGTTTGAGTGTGATCTTGTCTCCGAGGCTGAGCGCAATCCCCTGCGTCTTGCTCCGAATGCGGATGTAGCCTGCCAGTTTACCATCGCTCTGCTTCTCCACGCTCACATTCACCAGCGCATCCTCCCCAAACACGCTCTTGGCGTATAGGTTGGCTGCCAGGAACCCACAGTCACCGGCCAGCTGGGACCTGCAAGCACACAATTATGATGGCATTATTGTGGACCACGTGCAGGCACAAATTGCAAAAATCCATGGAGGTTGTAGCAGGCGAGAAGGGGAAGACAATAAGAAAAGAGAGAGGAAACAAACGTTTGAACAAAAAGAAATGGAAAAGACAATCGTTTGAGGGCGGGACGTACGGCGGGGTGAGGCACTTCATGTTGGTAGATGCAACAATGTGCTGAAGGAACTCATTGGTGTCCCCAATGCTCGTGTTCACCGCCACCTGGTGTCGTAGACACACGCACACACACACACACACACACACACACACACACACACACACACACACACACACACACACACACACACACACACACACACACATACACACAGACACCCCCCACACACACATACACATTGGACGCAGATCACACACACAGATACACACCGCGCGCGCGCGCGCGCGCGCACACACACACACACACAAAACAATATCAAGTATACATTCATGCATGTGTACAAATGAGACAAAACAAGAAAAATCATCAGTATTTCATAGACAGACATTTATGTCAAACATGCCAGCATCACAAACTTGTATCCATCCCAACACGTCACTGTGCGTTCCATGCACCCACCGCCTCACCTTGTTTTCCCACTCGAACTCCGCCCACATGTTGCGGAAGGCGACGTCAGCGCAGGAGGCGGGGGAGATGTAGTCCATGATGTCGATGTGGATGTCGGACAGCACCACCACGTTGCGGTCCAGCACACTCGTGCTCTCGTACACTATGTTGCCAAAGATCACCCCCGTCTCCGTCGACGACACCTGCCATTCGTGGGATCAATTCCGTGAAGTGGTCGGTGGGGGTGACAGGGGAACAATGGAGGGAGGTGGAGGGAAGGAGAGACAAAGGGTTGGCCACGTTCTGGGAAGAGTGGCTGTCCAACATTCACTGTTTTTTGTGCTTAGATATGCACTCAAATGGTCCAGGGTGAAGATCAGCCCACACTTGGCTCTGCTGATTTCTAGACGAGCCGCATCCATGGGAGAAACAGCAGTTTAACTGCAGACTGTAGCAGTGTCGCTTCAGCGCACCTTGATGTTGGCGCGGATGAGCTTGCTGCTGTCGGGCGCCAGCGTGTAGTTCTGAGGCCGCTCCACGAGCTTGAGGTCGCCCATGGTGGCGAGCTCCAGGCACAGGTTCTGCAGCGTCTCGCGCGTGCGGTTGACCACGGTGACGTCCAGCACGATGTCGTACTGGTGCACGGTCACGTACGCCTCCGCGTACACAGGGTCGCTGAACCCCGTCAGCTGCAGCACGCGGTTCAGCTTGCGCCCACCGCCTGCGGCCTCGTCGCGGCCGTACTCGCCGGTGGCGCGCTTCAGGTCGTTGGCCACGGCGTCCTCCAGCTCCAGCTGCGACATGCCCTGTCAGCACCACCACCCACGCACGGGGGAGCCATGAGGGGAGAGCGGTGGTGGAGGGAGGGAGAAATACAAGACGGTTACAAACATTGGAACGGGTGCAATGGGGCATTGGGAAATGAATGCCTCCAGAGAGACAGGGAGATAAGAAGAGGAGGAGAATGGGGGGAGAAGGGCCGGGGAGAGGGAAGGGGAAACAAAGCAACGGAGGGTGGCAGGTGCAAAGATCATCGGGGGCCAAGCAGCCCCACACTCAACCCATGGACAGACAGGCGCGGCCATCCCACCTTGCGGCTCTTGAGGTGGTAGAAGTCAATGAGGTCGTCGGGTTGTGCCACGGCGAGCGCCGCATTGGCCTTGCTCTCCTCGCTCTCGCGCGTCACCTTCTCGCTGATCATCTTGCCAAACGACTGCCGGCAGTACGCCAGCCACACGCGCCGCATCACGTCCGAGGGGCGCGCCAGGATGCGCAGGCAGAGTGCAATGCGGTCGTACGAATCATCGTCGATGGGCTGAGGCAGCGCGGATGACTGGCCCAGGCGCAGGATGCCCACGAGGTACAGCATGGCGTCCACCGTCACAGCGTTCACCTCCGCCTTGTCCGACATCAGCTGCTCCAGCCGCAGCACCAGCTTCGTCAGCGCCGTGCCCACCACGCTCCCCAGGAAAAAGTCCCCTGCCAGCAGCAGCGACCGCAGGTTCGCTGCCGCGTTTCCTGCCGCCGCCACCACGGCCGTGGGCACCGCACTCACTTCCGACGCCGCGCTCTGCGTGGCGTACGTGCCGTCCGCCAGCACAGCGGGGCGCTTGGACGTGGCGATGACAGGCGGCGGGGGGGGAACCGCGGTGACGCCTGGGGCGACAGGCTTGGCGGCGTCAGCGTCGGCGTCGGCGTCAGCGGAGGCGGTGGTGTAGAAGGGCAGGTCGCCCAGCGACTGCTTGATCGTCGCCATGGCGTGCTGCGCCTCGGGTAGCGTCTGCGCGAACTCGCCGACGATCCAGAGCGCGCAGGAGGCGACGCGGGAGGAGCGGATCTGGTAGAAGGTGTCGAGCAGGCGCGAGATGATGGACTCGCGCAGGCGCGGGTTGGTCTCGATGATCTCGCGCACGAAGAACGCCACGTCCAGCGCCGACGCCACGTTCTGCGCGGGGGAAAGGCGGGCGGCGGAGGATGCGCGGGTGGGAGGAGAGGGGGGAGGAAGAGACGCGATCATGGAGGTAGGCGGAATGGGCACGGAGGGGAAGAACGAAGCTGTGAACGCTTCCCCTCCATTCCCATCAAATCCCGTCCATGCAATTCAGCACCAACAACCTCAAAGCGTTCCCTGACGCACGCACTGGCGTGACGGGAGCCACCCACCTGATCGCCGAGGAAGTCCATGAGCAGGTGCACGACGGAGGACGCGACGTCGGGGAACTTGACGGCGCACGTGTGGATGGCCTGCACGAGCATCTGGCGGTACTCGCCGCCCTTCTCCACGTCCGTGCCCTGCGTCTTCACCACCTCCTTCTTGAGCGTCATCACCACCTCGTCGATGTTGCGCGGCGTGATGAGGTCCAGCGCGATGTCGAGCGTCTTGCGGCGGATGTCGAGGTTGGGGCTGGTGAGCGCGCGCAGCACGTCCATGACCATGTCCACCATCACCTCGCGGTGCTTGCTCTTCAGCTCCTGCAGCCGGTCCAGCACAATCAGCTTCACGTTGTTGTCCGACTGCGACAGCAGCAGCTGGCAGTAGCAGTTCGCGGCCGCGCGGATGGCGGTGGGCGCGGACGAGAGCGCGATGAGCGTGCCGGCGCACTCGTAGACGACGGCGGAGGAGGGCGAGGACATGAGGGAGAGGATGATCTTGATGTACTTGGCCTTCTCCGCCGGGTTGGTGCGGCACACCTTGCGGATGAGCTCCAGCACCACCATCTGCAGGATGTCGCCCCACAGCGGCACGTTGTCCAGGTTGCTCAGCAGGTAGTGCACCGCGCGATCCTGCCACGCGCGCCACGCGGGGAGACGGATGGGAGACGACAGAGGGAATGCGGCACGGGAAGCGTGATGGGTTGATTGATGTCGGATGCACCGAAACAGTTTTGCGGCATGAGGGCAGAAATCGTAAACGACTGAAATAGTCCCATGTCGAGATATCACCTGAACTGACTGACCAGCGAAAAGTCACTACACGAGGTGAGCAAAGCTTATGACGTCAAGAAGCATTTCTTATCTCTACCGTCCACCGCATCTCCTCTCTTGCAATCCGCACACGAACACGGGAAGGGCCTCTACAGGGTAAACGTGTATGTTCAGCCTACATGCACAGTGCACAGCACTTCACGAACTAATCAGGCCTCAAGACACATCATCCCCGCCGTCGACTCGCCGCGAAGACTGTTCACCTTACAGACTGTCTCCCACCCCCCCCGCTCTGCACCTTCGCTGCTCACCTGGGCGCAGTTCTCGAGCATAAGAAATGCGTTGCGCTTGGCCGACAGGTCCTGCTCATTGGTGATGAGCTTCTCGATCATCTCGCCCGAGTCCTGCAGCAGGTGGTCGCCGTTGGGCAGCTTGAAGATGCTCATCACCGCTAGGATGGCGTTGCGACGGACGAACGGATGCCGGTGCTCCAGATTCAGCAGAATGGACGGAATGAGAGGCTCGATGAGCTCCGTCTCCTGGAGCCGGCAGAGGAATCGCAGCGTCACACCGCGGATGTACTCGTTCGGATGCTGCAGATTGTTGCGCAGGTTTTGGCAGATGAGAATCATTTCAGGCAGAATCTTCCCGGCGGAATCTGTCTTGTCGATAATCTCGAGGTACAGTAGTAGGAGCTTCTGGATCGTGTGGTCCTCGGACGGCAGAACGTATCGGACGATGGTGATGAAGAGTTGAGGGATCTGTTCGTTGTTGAGCAGCAGCATGATGGCCTTCTTCATCGCATCCTGCTTCCTCTCCGTGTCTTGACCCTCCAATGCCTCTTTGATTTCATTTGCCAAGGACGGGCTTGCTTTGTCAAAATGCACCAAGAGCGTGCACGACTTCTCCATTTTACGATCTCCCAGTGGCTACTAAAGAAAGAGAGCGACTTTAGGAGAAGTGCTCAGGACAACGACGAGCCGAATTGAGGAACTTATATTTTCGACTACGACGAAATGGTCTTTTGATTATGCCAAAACTGGTGCGGCCAGGAGAAAACGAAAAAAAAAGAAAAGGACGTCCGACCAGCGGCTTTTTTGTGATCTTGATTCACTTTCGCTGTCCAGGCGCGAAACCAAGGTACGAAACAACGTGAGGACCACAGCCGTAAAGACAGGACGCAATATCCTGTGAAGAAATCCTAAGCCGCAAACAATGGATAGAAAAATGGCTCGAGGAGATCCCTCCCAGCGAGCAGGATTCAGAGAAGTTGATCTGGAGGAAAGCGCAGATCTGGAAGTCAGGGTGGAAGGGCAGTGAATGGAGTGGAGGCAGACGAGGAGGCCTTGGGAATTGGGGCGTGCGGGGGCCGGGGAGCGGGAAACTGTGACCGGGGGTGGGTGGATGGAGGGCCCAGGAGGAGTAGTGGCAGGCGTGAACAGGCATGGGGAGGAATGAGAGTGGAGGGAAGGGATGACGGGGCTCAACTGACTGACATAACTGCCGTGTACTCACTCTAGCTAGCATATTTAGAGAAAATCAGTATTGCCAACTGGATTGCATTCTATTTTCACCTGATAAGACTTTGATAAACCTGAGAAGGATACCTCTTATTGAACATAATGTCGAGAAGATCCTGATATTAACAGCTTTGAATGATTATTTTTCTGTCTAACAAGTCCATATTCTAACCGTTTTGAATGAGCTTCTAATAGAGACATAAAACAGTTTATTTTTCTCTATTTTCTCTAGTACATGATCTCCTAAAGCAGTTTTTACATTTTCATGCTATTATGTGAGCCCTTGGCTTGAAACACACGTCTATAAGAGTATCTGCTCAGTATGACTGTACTGAGATTGTTGATGAAGCGTGTCTTCGAGTGCACTGGATACTGCTTTAACCCGAACATGATGGGGGCGTGTTCTCAAACACGATGGACCGACCTTGGAACGACGCATCACAGTTGGAAACCAGATGGAGGAAAGAAGGGTACTTTGCTTTGAAGTATTTCTTGGTTGGAAGTACAGTAATGTGCTGCATCCGGAACCCAAGACTTTTACAACACCACACCACAGCTGATGCATTGAAAACGGCTGCCCGACATAACGGCTGATCAACGACATTCCTTTCCGTTGTTCGTCATCACTGGCCTTCGCCCAGGCCTGGACTGGGCAATCTCTCTGCTCCCCCCTACATCCAACCAACCCAACCCCGAACGCCTTGCACTTCCACATTATCCTTTCGCCATGCTGGCGGCCGCTTCTCGCCTCTCCGCGCCACCATAGGTGCTTCATGCGGTGGATGCCTTGCCTTGGGCTTGTCCTTTCCGCTGCGCGGAACGGAACCCCGAACCTAACCTGCGGTTCTGTGGGCGTGCCCTAACCCTCCCCTCCTCCCTCCGCCTTTACCCCCTTCCCCTCCGCCAGACCAGCCTTTTACCACACTACCTGAAAACAAGCATGCACAGGGCACGTAGGTCTCATCGATCAGTTTTGTGCTTCGCGGTTTCGGGTAGGCACTCCTCACGCTTATGTGTATTCTACCCTTGAGTGCTCAAGGAGGTAGGGCATTGCTCGGCATCTCTTTCTTAATGGCAAAGATTGATTCCGCATCGGGCCTTTTAAAGATTCTCTGTTCCCTGACAGTTGACGCACGAACCGATTACTTTTGGGGATTTCATCGCGTCGACGTCGTTGTCCCACACCAATCTTCTAGCCCTGGTTTGTGTGCTAACCATCCGCGCGTTCTCCATCTATGACGTATCGACCGATGCTTTCGTCCACAGGGTCGTTTCAGCAACCCCCCTAATCCTGTCAATGGCGTTAGCACAGCGATACGATCTTTATCGCGCCCTTTAGTTTCCCCGAGCAACGGGGTTCTGCAGGTGCGTGGCGAGAATCGGAGCAGAGCGAAGGACGAGTGGAGAAAGTCTTTTTAGTGTTGCCCCGGACGCCCTCGTTGCAGCCCTAACTCCTTGTTTCCCCCCGGCTGGCCCCATGGGTTCCGCGCACTCCCACTTGGATCACGGCGATCATGCTCCGCACGAGTCGCTTCGCCTGTCTCCGGCGACACTTTCGCGAAAGGTTTGCACGCCGAACAGCGAAAAGGAGCATTATGAGGGGGTTCCCCCGGTTTTTGTTCAGAGCAGTAGGTTAGAGTCCAGAGATCCAAGAAGCATGGAGGAAGGCGATGGAAATTTCGACGAAATGGGGGTTGCGAAGGAAGCGGGGGGGGATGACGAAAGAAGCGAGGAAGAAGAGGAAGAGGAGGAGGAAGAGGAGGAGGAGGAGGAGGAGGAGGAGGAAATCATGGTTAGTTTCGAGTATCACTGCCGCCGGGAGAAGCGGGGAGGGTCGCGGAAGGATAGTGGGCTTGATGAAACGAGTGGAAACGGGCAAGACGACAGCACGGATGACGAAGGGGAGGGGGAAGATGAAGGGGAGGACGAGGGCATGGAAGCAGGGGACGATGAGCAACGCGCTGCCAGCGCGCTTAGCGCGGGAGCGCCGTCACGTTCCGACAGGCCAGCTTCGGAGCCGGGCGTTTCGGGCCCCGCGCCTCCCGGCGACAGCAAGATTCTGGGCGGAGCAGCAGCAGCGGAAAAAAGTCACGCGTTTGCAGCGCCGTACGGTCATTCCTTGTCAGACACATCCAAATTTCTCCCTCTCCACTCGCCCCTCGACCCCTCGGATGCGCGCTGCGGTCTCTTCTCTTCCGCATCCATGGCGTCGGGCGCGGCGCGGTACCATCGTCGCAAGTCCTTCTCATTCCTGTCCGGCGCCGCGCTCAGCGCCAACGCCACGCTCGCCAACTCGTTTCTGTGCGCCAACACCGCGCGGGGGATCCTGGGGGACATAGACTCCCCCAAGAACTTCCGCCGAATCGGCTGTAACACATCCACTCACTCCGGCATCCCCGCGTGTTGTGCGCCCGCGTGCCCGCTCTCCTCCTCCTCCTCCGCCTCCTCCTCCATGTCTTCCAACCCTCTCTCCTACCGCTCCGCTTCCTCCGCCTCCACCACGCCCTCCTCCGCCTCCGCCGCTTCTTCCGCGTCCCCCACGTCCGGCGCGAGCCTCTGGTCCTCCATGCTTTCCGCGGGCGGCGGAAGTACCGGCGGAGAGCCCATCTTTTCCGCGGAGAACAGCAGCTCTGCGCCCGGGTCGTTGGGGCAGAGCTTTCTGCAGGCGACGGACGTGCAGGTGGCGGGCGGGGCGGCGGGCGAGGACCGCGTGCAGGCCGTGTGCTCGGAGGCGAACGGGTGGGTGTTCTGCGGCGTGTACGACGGGTTCAACGGGCGCGACGCCGCGGATTTCCTGGCCGTGAACCTGTACGAGAGCGTGGGCATGCACCTGCGGCTGCTGCACTGGCAGGAGCAGCACGCGGCGCAGCAAGAGGCGCAGCAGAAGCAAAGGCAGCGGCAGCAGCACCACCACCATCAGAAGCAACATCTCTGGCATATGCTCCCTCCTCCCCCGCCTGTCTCCTTCCTCCCCGCCTCCCCTTCCGCCGCCGTGCCCCCACCGTCGCTGCTGCGCACGGCGAACCCGAGTCTGAGCCAGAGCATGCCGTCGCTGCCCACCGTGTGCGAGGAGGCGTCCTCCGCGCTCTCGCCCCTCACCTCCGCGCTGCGCGCCATCCCGACCGCCGACGGCGGGGCAGGCGGAAGCGGTGGCGAGGCGGACAATGGGAGGGGGGGCGCACAGGCTGGCGCGCAAAGGGTTGACGGAGAGGGTGCAGCAGGGGCGGCAGCAAGGGCGGTAGCAGGGGCGGACGAGGTGAATGAGGCGCAAGGTATGGGTGTGGCGAGGGGGGTTGGGGTGGGCGACAGACGGATAGGGTCGGAAAGTGCTGGTGGCATGTGTTGTGACGAGTCTAGCAGTGGACGGAGTAGGGCTAGTAACGGTCCGGAAAGCGCAGCCGATTGTATCGATTCAGCTCGCTCCTCGTTGTCAGCAGAAGCGAACGATCTGTCGCAGCCAGCAGCGGCGGCAGCAGCAGTAGAAGCAGCGTCGGTGTGTTCACCGTCCGGGCCTGGCTCGTGCGCCTCCTCCTCGCCCACTTCACCCACCCCTGCCCCCCCCGCTCCCTCTGTCAACGGCACGCACTCACCCGACGCCGCATCATCCAAACCGACCGCCACAAGCGCCGCAGCAGCGAGCGCGGCGGCGACGGCGGAGTTCCAGCGCGCAGTGCTGCGGTGCCTGCAGCGCGCTCTGGCGCACACAGAGCGCGACTTCCTGCGCATGGTGGAGGCGGAGATGGAGGAGCGGCCGGACCTGGCGATGGTGGGGTCGTGCGTGCTGCTCGTGCTGCTGCACGGCCGCCACCTCTTCACGCTCAACCTCGGCGACAGCCGCGCGCTGCTCGCCACGTGGGCCGCGCCGGGGGAGGGCGCGTCCGTGAGCATGGGCGCCGCGGACGGTAGCGACGCGGACAGGGAGGGGCCGGGCGAATGGGTGGGGGAGGTGGGCGATGGGGCGTGTGGTGAAGGAGGGCAAGGCTTCGGGGGCGCGAATGGCGATGCGCTTGCTGGCGAGGGGGTGGGCGGGAAAGGTGAAAAGGGGCAGAGTGGTTTGGAGGGGTTGAGAGTGGTGGTGCTGTCGGAGCAGCACTGTGTGGACTACGAGCCGGAGAGGCGGCGTGTGGTGGCGGAGCACCCGCTGGACGCCAGCGCTGTGGTGGGCCGCCGCGTCAAGGGGAAGCTGCGCGTCACCCGCGCCTTTGGCGCCGGGTACCTCAAAAGCGTACGCACGGGGTGCACGGTGGCTGTGGAGGGTCAGTGGATACGGGTCAGGGCTTTGTGTGGTTGGATGGAGGGAATCGTGGGATGGTGTGAGAAGGCTTGGAAATGCTTTGCTTGGTCGTTTCACTTCCCCTCCCCTCCCCCCACCTTCATCCTGTTGCAAATAC